TCGTCTCGTCTCGTCTCGTGTCGTGTCGTCTCGTTTCATCTTGTCTCGTCTCGTTTCGTTTCGTCTCATCTCGTTTCATCTCATCTCATCTCATCTCATCTCTTCTCATCTTATCTCATCTCGTCTCATCTCGTCTCATCTCATCTAGTCTCATCTCATCTCATCTCATCTTCATCTTCATCTTCATGTTCATCCTCAATTCATCTCACCTCATTTCTTGCGCCTTCATTCATGGCGTAATGTCAAGTTGTAAAGAACGTAAACGGAGAAAAATAGATAATAGATTCATGGTTCATGCGAGGTAATAGATTCTTTAATGATTGAAGAAAATTAAGCTTCTTTCATCTTCTCTTCTACATCCTTGGAATTTAGTCTGATCTGCTGGCAAGACTTGAATCCTAGGTCCTATCGTCCTCCGTTGTTGCTTCTACCTTCCTTCTACCTCTTTGCTTCTCGCCATCTTTCTACCTCCTCCTCTTGAATATCGTGTGCTACACGCTTCCGGCTGACAGTGCGCTTTTTAGGCCTGCGCGCGCGACTCGCGCAATGGACGTCGCAATCCCCTCCCTCTCTCCTTCCTTCCAACGTGACTCTCGATGAACCGCAAATCTCCCCGACAAGCGAAGAGGGTGGAGTCCGTCGCGGACGTTTCATGCAAGATCGCGAGGCGTTTATGATACGACGACGACGACGACGGCGAAGATGACGACGGCGAAGATGATGATGATTATGATGATGATGATGATGATGATGATGATGATGATGATGTTGATGATAATAATGATGATGACGATGACGACGACGACGACGACGACGCGTATTCGGGTGTATCAGTCATCAGACTCCACGCACCAAAAGACAGGCGCCATGTCGTCGTTTTCTTCCTCGAGCAACCAACCGATCGATCTTCTTCAGTAGCGTAATGTACGCACAACTAGCTGGTAAATATCCTACTCTTTGTTATCAGGTAAGTGAAGGTCGCGAGCGGAGACAAATCGAAACGGTACTTGTGGTAATTGTGATGCAAGTGAGTTTTCTCAAATAATCTTGTGAAAATATTCTCTATCCGTTAATTTTAGTACAAGTATTTCGCATCATGTGTGTGTTGTATATTTTCAAAAATTTTACAATTATAATACAAGAGAAATTGAAGAAATTAGATTTAAATGTGATATTACGATGACTATTTATCGATTTCTTTTTATATTGTTAGAATGCAGCATATGCAATGTCTTTTTAATATAAAATAAGAAAACTGTACAATGTGAGAGATCATCCATGAAATAATTTTAATGCACATGTAAAAGTAATATTGATTCAAAATGTTTAATTATGAATAACATCCACATATATTATATCATATTAATATTATTTTGTTACAATGCTGAATTGGTCTCTTTTAACGTAAAATATTAGAATATGTATGAAATGTAAATTAACAAAAGTAATATTTTTTAAATAACGTTAATCTAAGATGTAATTAATTTTTGTCTCACAAATTACTATTTATTGTAATTTTTATTTATTCATTTATAGATTAATTTATATTGTTTTTTACGATATATTTGTTCTTTTTTTATTTTTATAGTATAAGCTGTAAGAATGTGAAATTGATATGCTACGATATGAAAAATTAATATTTTTGGCATGATATCGGGTCGAGGTCGAAGTGTAATCCGCTATCAATTACGTAATCACAAGATAACGTGGTCACCACGTGGTTTTAGCATACTTGGTAAATGATTCGTGAAAATAGATATCGAATTATATGAAATGCATAAAAACGAGAAATAAAGAATAAATAGTAACTAGTGGGATTTAATGTAATTTTTATTTATTACGTACAGTTTTTTGCCAACTTTTTCAAGTACTAATGTAATCGAAAAAAACGGTTATAAGCGTGGCATGAGGCAAAGTTGAATTTTCTCTCTTTAGTTTTCTTAAACTAACTTAAATTGAATAAAACACTTTAAATGAGAGATTTAAATGATTATTTTTTAACTAAATAAATACTTGGTAATGTTAAAATGTCATCTTTGGGAGGCAACTAGTTCTAAAGGAAATGCGTTAAATTTAACAATAAAATGGAATAGTTGTCACCCCTACATTGAGCGAATTTTGCTCGGATAAACGGCGCACCCAGTACTGATGGCGTGGTGTTTAATTAAATTAGCCACGTTATAGAGCAGTTCCCTGAGGTCATTCCCGTGTCGTATCACGTTTATTTCGACGCGTCACTCTTACTCGTGAATTTTTCTACCTTGCTGTGTTATCTTGTGTGTGTGTGCGTGTGTGTGTGTGTGTATCTCTCTGAATGTATACTATTTTTATTTGAGGATGTTTACATATATAGTAGTGCGTCACATTTCTTCTATTCACTCTGACAATTAAATGACTGAACTAAAGTCTATTAAATATTCAATCTAAACTAGATAGAACAATGTCATCCCGAATATTATGATTGTACTTAACAATATAACAGTTATATTCCATATATATGTATTCCACAACGTGAAATGTAAAGAGAGCTGAAAAAGATAGACTTTGGAGATTTTAATTGAAAGTCATTATCAGTTTAATTAATATATTAATATCTGTATATAATTACGATCCGAAAGCATTTAACTTTAAATGTGAAGACATACGGTGCCTAACGTACCTTGTTCGAGCGTGGATAACAGCGCACGCTCTTATCCTTCGGATGGAGGAGCTGTAGAGTGTAGACCCGCTCATTTACTCGAAACGCGTCGAGAGAGAGAGAAAGAACATGTGTCGCGTCAAGAGCCACGTATAGCGCATGCGCGAGCGTGGATAGTCTGGCGCCAGCAGGTGCGGTTAAATATAGCTTATGCAACGGTATCCTCTCTTCGTTCGCACACTCTCTTGGCTCTCTCCGCCTTTTTCTCACTGTCCTCTCTTTCTCTTTCTCTCTCCCCCCTTACTTACCGAAAAAACACGTAAACACATGGTTAATATGTATATGATATGAAAGTATTTTCGAAGCTCAAATCTTCTAAGCTAATCGTTATTTTATTGGTATGTCGAAATAATTGCGATAGCTTTTATTTTCAATCCAACTTAATTTCCATGAAATTTGTATATAATTTTATTTACGCTAATAACGGGCGTGTATCCAGAAAAATACAATCAATTTATATTTTTAACGTTATGCCATGTACAACGTGTTGAAACATTCATAGTCGCCCTTATATTTGCAACATACGTGACATAATTACAATCGATTAGAAATATATGTAGTAAACTTGATAATTTACATAATTTAATTCAATAACGACATTTTATAATTTATATACCATGTACTTTTTCACATCATTATCATCATTATCGTTTTACATATTTTAAGTAATGGATAAGTGAATCGTACAATTTGAACGATATTGTACGCGAAAGAAATCTTTTTTTCTAGTTAGGTCTTCAGGGACAATGAGAAGAAAAAAGAGAGAAGGAAGCAAAATCAAACGAACGTAAATAACGTTCTACTCATTTTGTGTAGGTTTCAGAATAATAAGATTTTTAATAATTACGATTAATTATTATTTTCAACTTGGTATCGACTTGGTTACAAGCAGAAACTTACGATCGCGCCAAGTCATCTACGTACTTTAATACGTATCTTTGTATGATACGTGCGGTATGTTGATCGAGAGACTTGATTTGCATCTGCAACAAACATGGGGCCTGAGCCGCATATCTCGCATCTTATAATAACCCGACATTTCCATTCATCCAGCATCCATCTTATTTCTCGCGTTTCTACGGAATCGAAGGCCTCGCGACACACGTCGCAGGCGGATTCAAGTAACGTAATACTTAATACTTGTAAGATGTTTCTCAAGAACAATTTGCTTCATGAATTTCCTAACGAATTTTGGGAATAAACTGTAAGGATTTTCCCTTGCTCTTAAACTTGGTTATTTAAATACTTGGAAACGCTCTTTCACAGTTGCTTCTTCGTGTCGTAATATCTTTCTAAATTTTCGGAATTACATAGACACGACTGTTTTCTCTCCCAACGATAAATTTTTTAATATACGATACTTTCCATTCATCGTATCGACAATGTTGATACTTTTTAGCATTTTATTTCTGTACTATAATCAATAAGAAGTAAAGAAGATATGAATTGTTCAGTTTTATATTAAATAGGAGTTTTTTTAAGTATATGTATGTTATATTCAGCAATCTTCTCTCGATATCGAAACCAGTGTCAAAATTATCAATCTATTGATACAGATTGATTTCGGTTTGAACAAGTGTTTTTCGATAGCTCGTTGAATATCTCACTGAATGTTAAAAGAATCGTTGGGTATCGATACGCGTTATTGTCACGTACATCTACGTTTATTTTATTATAATTCGGCACTTTCTGCTTTTCGTAAATGAATATTTCCAGTCGTCTTTCTATACGAAGCATTGCAAGAGAGAATGTAAGAGAAAATGAAGATATGACGTTGCCAAGTATTAGACAACGCACATAAAGAAAAGTATACAGTACAATTCTCTATATAAAAATATATATTTCTATAAGAAACGTAGAGGACGTTCTCTCAATTGTGAATATTGTCTGCCTATACATATATGGTAATATAATTTTATAAAATACACGAAAATGTGTGTTTGAATGAGATAACATTGTTTTCTGCAATAGAACGATGCTTATAAAAAAATGATGAAAATTTTTCTCGAGATTATGATTTTCGAGATTTTGCCGATTATCGGTTTCCTATCGTTTCTGCAACACTTGAGATAATGAGTGATAATACAATAATACGTACGAGAGCGCATAGCGCGTATTCTGTTACAAACCGACAATATCCCACAGTCTCTAGTTTACCAATCGCCTCGATCAATTAATTTTTTAACTTGTTTATTTTCCCATTGCCATTTTATTGCACAAAGGAAAAGTAAATTAACTTTTCGTTAAAGTACTTGATTAATTAAGAATTTACTCTCTCTCGATTTCTGAATTTCGTAGTTTTATTAATTTACTTATGTTGAAAAAATTATTTGAAACATTAATTTTTTCAGATTCTTCAAGGTTATACATTTAGACAATCACGTACGTTACAATCATTACATCATATCATACTTTGAGCGAAAAAAAGAAACTGAAGCTGATGTGCGCAAACGAAAATTATTTTCCTACATAAAATTGGCGTACAAACACAGCCATCTCTGAGAAGTATATTAATAATGTTCATCATGGATATCAGTCTACAGTTATTTACATAAAGAGCTATCGATACAACCATCAGAATCATATAACGCCAATTGCGGGTAGTATCGAGCGATTGTTACTTTTAGTTACGTATGCTTTAGTTACGTACATTGCAAATTGCATATTTCTTTAAATTGATCGATTCATCTCATTTAATCGCATAAAACTATAAAAATAAAAAGTTATCGAGAACATGAATATTTGACAAAATACTTGATATCTTGTCACGTGAAAAAATATGTTAGGATAAAACACAAATATCTAGTAGAATGTTATTATTTGTTTACAGTATAGGAGAAATGTACATATAATATGTGGTAAGAAATGATATATACATATGTAAGATTGTTATAATATTTACACCGTATACTAATTTTTCTTTTAAATATATTACAAATAAAAAAAATGGCGTTACTTATGTGTGAGTTTGTCATTTTGTGTTGCGTTATTTTACCACCTATACATATAGTCCCATTCGTTGAAGTCGCGTTGGTGTGACGACCAGTTCGGAACTCGCTTTCACGAATATCGCTATGACGACACCTGCATATAAATGCAGAGATCGTCCATCGTTTCTTCGAATTTGCGTTTTAATATTTAAATGTGGTCGTGCGAGTGACCGAAAAGTAGATAGCTATGGTTAGAAAGCGAGAGAGAAAACGTGAAATATGCGCGCCCACTACATAAATGTCGCTTAATTTAAAAGGCGATAAAAAAAGACTTAAAAACTTAAGGCTGCGCTCTTTTCCTTCTAATTTTCGAGTGAGAACATGGTTCCTATAATATCTCGATTTCATAAGCAATCCCCAGATCATTGCATAATATACTTGCAAAAAATGATACCTAATTATTAGTTTAATTTACAAAATAAAATTAGTTTATTGAAAGAGTGAGTGACAAACATGAACGTAATTAAACATCATCACTAAAAAATGGACCTATGATAGAAATAAAGTTACTTTTTCTTGGTTCTTCTTTTCTTTTAGCAATTTCGACAAGGTCCACATTCCAAAGCCAAGTCGAATGTCCAGCGGATGAAAGAAGAAAAAGGCGAATGCAAAAAAAGCGCAGTTGAAAAAGGGAGATCTTACAAAGAGCAAAGATCACTCTTCACGTGGCGGCAAGATGGCTACCTACGGAGTATCTGTTCACATCTTACCGGGCAGCATTAGATTGAAGTAGAAGGTTCTAATACTGTCAGGTAAAGATGTCGTCAGGATTCCAAAGACGACGATTAAAGGCGAGAGGATTTATCAATGCGAACGAAAACAATTTCATCATCTCGATACAGAGCGTTAGTTGTCCTTTTCTTTTTCATCACATTTTCTAAGAAATTGTAATACATACGTGTCTCTGTGTACTGTAAACAAACTGAATTGTAAACTTTTTATTAATTTGAAAAAGTATGCGTGAATTTGCGTGTATGAAGAAAATGTCAAACCTCTGTATATTGTACATATTCGACATAAATAAACTCGTAGTAATATTTACGCAGACGTTCAAGTAGATTTAAGCGACTAGGAAATTGCTATACGATATAGTTGAGAAGATTCTTACCGTCATATAATTTCGTAAATTCTTCATGATAAGGCGTACAAATATCTCTCGCTTCCGTACGTGATAATAAACACTGTGATATTTCATGGAATCTTATCAGACCACAATTGGTATGAGAATACGCCTACTCTCCTTTTTCGTAGAGCTACAATGAAGTAAAATCTTTTACAACAGAATCGAGACGAATGTGTTTCATTATCTCAATGATTATTAATAGTGAATTTCACATATGAGATGTTTTGTTTTCTTTTGTCTTTACTCGGAGGAAATAATAAAAAAACGTCTAATATAATGAAAGAATTTTCAAGCAGCGATTCGATGTAATTCTTTTGAGTTTTACTTGGCTACGCTAAAGCCTGCTCGCTCCTCGGAAAAGAGGCAGGGGGAAGGGCTACAAAAAGACCCAACTCTTGGTGCGTATAGTCTAATCTAAAAATAGAGGAAACGTCGTGTCTGAAAGTTTCTTGGCGAGAGCAGATTGAAAATTCATATATTGGATGTTTCGAAAAACTATCGTAAAAAATAAAATCACCAAATAGAAAATAATTACCTCGTGATTAGTAGAAAATAATTACATAATATTAATAATTATCTGTTACATATCTACAATGTATAATAATAATATGTAATAATCTATCGTAATACTATATTATCCTTAACTAATCACATATTAAAATTTTCTAATCTCTTCCCTTTATTAAAAGTTGAGCGAATATTTGTTTATTTGTTAACGAAGCAGCTGTAGACATAATGTATACTTTTATTATATAGATCCGATATTTACAATGTAAGTGTACTTTCCATTTTAATTATTACATTAACTTTTATTTGCTTTTGTTATGCAATTTATGAAATAATCATGTAAAATTACTGATACAATTTACTGGTGGTTTGTGAAATTACCAGTGATTTTACCTATTACAAAATAATTTGACAATAAAGGATTAAATATTTTTTCAAGGTAATACATATAAATTTTCAACTCGAAAAACTAAATATTTCTTATTTGTAAATTATGATTAAAGTGTATTAATTAATGAATATAATATAACAGAAAATTTTGTATTTTTGTTTCTACCTCTTTTCCTTTTTACAATTGGTAAAAGTGTGAGTAACTTTACCGACTGCAGTTAATTACTGATAGGTTTATATTCTTTATACTGCAAGGACTGCAAGTATATTCTATTATACATACTACTACACATATTACACAACATTTTCAACGTTTGAGTAAATTAATTTTTCTAATAATTTGACCATTTTTGGAATTTGCAAAATATTTATTACCGGAATAAGCCTAAAGCCGTTAGTTTTATCGACATTCTATGTTAGAAAATGTAAATTATATCAAAAAGGAAAAAATGTTTAATTTTACTAATTTTTGGTACACCTGACAATATTGGCTTGATACAATTCTACAATAAATATGTACAAAATGAGAGCAATATTAGAACTAAGATAGCCTAGAAAAAAGATTATTTGTAATAAAGACCATAAAGAATTAAAGTCGAGAAATCCGAGAGAGGTAATGAAACTGATGTAGATGGAGTTGATTGACCAATTGTTGGGCAACTCGGGTACAATTGGCAGCGAGCCGCGAGCGACGCTGAGCGGCGCCGAACAATGCCGAGCGGTACCGAGCGGTACCGAGCAACACCGAGCAACACCGAACAACACCGAGCAACGAGACTGCAAATGTATTTATGTATAGACGCACGCCTACATAGATATATGAAGCGATCTCTCAGCTGTTTGTCCGAGCGAAACAGTTGGAGTCTGTTGGAGGGCCGAGGGAACGCGGATGGGGTCGTCGAGATCGTACCAGACGAATTTTCCGTGCAGCGAGCGCAACGTCGTATTTATTTTTAGTCTCAAGTGTGCCATGTCAAGAAAATTTCTGCTGCGTAACTGCGTGCCGCGGAATTGCTAAGGACTCGCGATTTCGCTCGACAATCATTCTCTCTCACGTGCGATCCATTCGCTGGCTGGCAGATCCTACCGAGTGTCTATGCACCGTTGAAATTGAAGGTCAGCTGAGATAACTCCACCGAGGATCCAACCATGAGGAAGACGCGCGTCAGCATCTTCCGCGATATCTACTATCAGCCGTACGACGATTGCACGAGGCTCAAGTTCTACTCTAGCAGCAAAGGTAGATTTCTTTGCTATTTTTAACGGTACCTTTTTAACGGTGCAGCTAGGGCTAATGAGTTATACGACACGAGACATTTGACACAAGAGAAAACATTTCTTGTCGTACAGCTAGCTTACAACTAATGCAGCGCATGTCATTGCTGAAGAGATTAAAGGTCCACAATGGTTGCGTCAATTCTATTTGTTGGAACAACAATGGAGAATTGATACTGTCTGGGAGTGACGATCAACATCTTGTTCTAACTAATGCACATAATTATGAGGTACATCTATATTCCATTGCTTTCCTTGAAATTTTACATTTATTTCTAGACTCTGTCCAAGAGGATTGTGCCAAGATTATTTTGGATTTTATCCTTGAAAATCGTGTGTCTAGAAAGTCAATTGCGCTTGGCAATCCTCAAAATACGGAATGTAAAACGTAGTGAGACAATTACTAGTTGTTACCTTATTTATAGATATAAAAACAAATTACGTTAATACATTTTTCAAGAAAATCTTTTCCAGTTAAATAGTTAATTCTAGTCAAGGTCCAACATTGACATAGTTAGAGATGCCGATGCCAAACTAGATACTGGTATAGATTCATCAGCTACATATGCATACGGTTAATTTTATCCTTTGGTACTGTCACTCACCTTGCTCACTTTTATTTATGCTGAATAAAGTGTCTGTAACAATTAGTATTTCAATAAATTGAAATTAATAATTTCATTGGTCAGTAAAGAGTCAGAAAAGGTGTGTGGCATTCGAGAAATAAGACTTACATTAGACTGTTTATTGCGATAAATATTACCGCATGCCTCAGTGATCGAATTGGTGAGGTGCCCGTTTAGGGTGAGGGGTAATATTTTTCGAAATAAATTTATAATCAAATTGTTTCAACACTAACACCTTGTCACGGTTCTCAGCCCTTTCCTAGTCTATTAGTAATTTTTTTCCATTCAAGGTATTAACGGACTACAAAACAAGTCACAGAGCAAATATTTTTAGTGCCAAATTTTTGCCTAATAGTGGAGATCACCGTATTGTTTCTTGCAGCGGAGATGGCATTATTTTGTATACAGGTATGAAAATTAATATGCGCGCGTGTGCGTGTGCATCGGTGAGGATAATATGAATGAATGAGAAATCCAAGAGTATTTCAATCACGTCATCTTGTTTACAGACCTGATGAGAAGAACGGAAACGTTCCATAATCAATTCACCTGTCACACCGGCACTACGTATGAAATAGCGACAGTACCCGGTGAGCCGCATAGTTTCCTAAGTTGCGGAGAGGACGGGACTGTGAGATGGTTTGATCTCAGGCTGAAGGATAAATGTAACGCTACGAGATGTAGAGAGGCAAGCACACACATTATTCTCCCTATAATTACAACACTCTTGAAACTGTACATGTATTTGATTAAATGCTTTTTCTAGGATGTACTAATCTCGTGTCAAAGAGCCGTAACCGCTTTGTCCGTGAATCCTGTATTGCCTCACCAAATAGCGATCGGTTGTTCCGACAGCACTGTAAGAACATTCGACAGGAGAACTCTCGGTACACCAGTCACCGGTAATCTTTACGTGATGTAACTGCGTTACGTGTCGTGTATCATATTGGTAACATGTGTATACATCTAGGTTGGACGGATGCGGAGAGATCAGTGAGACCGTTGTGCAGTTTCACTGTCCCAGAGTTTGAAGGCAATTCTTACAGGATTACGTCGTTGAGCTATAGCCCGGATGGACAAGACGTCCTTGTCAGCTATAGCAGTGATCATCTCTACTTATTCAGTATCAAAGTAATTTACATTTTATCTAAACACACACATACATATATAAAATATGTTATCTATATTTTTATTTATCTCGGAAACTTATATCCAGGATCAAGGCAGTTTGCAGCTGCGAAAAGACGCGACAATGGGAAAGGGAAAAGGAAAGAAGCATCCGTTAAGATCGCCTCAACCAGTTCGTCGTTTGAGACTTCGCGGCGATTGGTCCGATACAGGTCCCGATGCCCGTCCAGAAAGAGAAGGAGGACGTCGCAGTGGTACAGGTAAATTAATTCTCCTTCTCTTACATCTTACGCATATGTCTGTGTATCTTTTATATATCTTGTGCAAAGAAATTCCACTATACAATGGTATGTCGTTTGTTAGAAATCGCTCAGGCAAGACCGATGTTGCACACGTCCTTGATGCAGAGGATGACAGATGTACTCAGCAGAATGTTAAATGACCCAGCCACACGCGCTGCTTTGAGTGGCGGAGGTGAGGATAGTCTGGAAGGTGTTATCGAGCAACCGGAAGGTATTCAAACCGCTGAGAGTAATCCTGAACCGAATGTAGAGAGAAGTAACGACACGGTTGAATTGAGTGCAGAGCACAGCAATATTTCGGGAACAAGTGGTAACCAAAATATATACACCTGTCATACACATATTATCATGCTCGATTCTATTAAAGTGTTGTTTTTAGGAGATGCAAATGTACGCGCTGACGGAGCCGAAAGTACAGACATGGTTGAAGCAATCAACATTGAGAGATCCCAAACTAGTGGGATCGAACAATCCCAAGAATATGACCAGTTACCGTCGTCGAATATATCCGCGAGTTTCAACAATGATATTCCTATGGAAACTGAATCTAGTCAAAGCGATCAAGCGCAAATCACTCCTGTAAAATCTACAAGTAGTCATGACAGAACTGAGCATGATAATGTATGGAATCGAAATGAGAGTGAAACGTCATGTGCAAATATAACTAGCAAACAGGAGAATATGATGGAAAATCTTCAGGATAGATTAACAACGATGCGGGATGGTTTTCTTGAAAGGTAAGTTTAAAATTTTCCTATTGAGATCTGCTGTGTGTAAGATTTTTCTTTCTCCTCTCGAAATATTAGTATGTATTTTAACTGATAAAAATGTCAAGAGATGCGAAAACGAATATATCTATCTAATGCATAATTTAACAGACATGGTAGTGAACCTGCTGTGAGTTTAACGTATTCTGACAAAAGCTCAACTAGTGCCACGATATCACTTGGTGTCGGTGATGAAATGACTCGCGACAGTTACCATCCAGGTGAATACTTGAAATCCTTGCTTATTTTAAATATACATATATATTAGTATAATTGATTTTGTACAGCAATTTGTTTGTCAGGACCGTCTGGAAGTAGCGACGGAACTCTTGACGCAGGTCCGAGCAATAATCGCAACCATCATCGTTACAACGATGAAAGTAAATGAAGTTCTTAATCGCTTTGTAATATATATATTTACTTATTTAGTAATTTATGGCATTTTTGCAGAAGCCAAGGGGGCTGTGTACATTGATAGCGATGACGAAGATACTCAATCAGATGAAAGGTTAGATTAAAACATTACATAAAGGTTTGACTCAAATTATTCACACTTGTCGGAATATTATTTCTAGAATTAGAATTTTTTCATCTTTAGCAATAACTTTACAGGCTACTAAATCCAGTCGAGGAGATGGACGAAGCAATTACCAATACTCGTTCGTCGCAAGGACACGAGACGTTTGATGATGCGTATCTGACGGAACTCTGTGTAAAACGAAAATATATGGGACATAGAAATGCCAGGTTTGATCTACTTTTTACCTCTACTCGTAACATCTCCAAATTGTCAATGAGAGCGATATAAGCTCTCAAATACTTAGTGTTAAATTCGTGTGAGTGATTTCGATTTGTATAGAAATGATTTAGAGGTGAGGAGACTATTAGTATTTATTTTTATTAGTATAGCTATTAGTAGTTTTTAGATTAACACGATATTAAGTAATTGCGCCAAGAATAGCATATACCAAATCAGCTTGGCAAGTTTGGTCGCTGTCACCGTGAATGACAATAACTTTAACCGAGTCTTCATCTAATCAAAAAGTGCACCAATGTGTAAACGTCTGAAAGATCGGAAGCCAAATCATTGACTCAAGTAGTTCCGAAAAAGCCTCCGAGCGGACTGGGCAAACTGTGCAATATTAAAGCCGCCGAATTATCTCTGACTAGTTGCCTTTCCCCCACTTTTGACTCTAGTTTCTTTAGGACCATGATCAAGGAAGCGAATTTCTGGGGCAATGATTTCGTCATGTCGGGTAGCGATTGCGGTCACGTGTTCGTGTGGGAAAGAGACACTGCAAGATTGTGTATGTTGCTGGAAGCGGATCAACATGTGGTCAATTGCTTGCAACCGCATCCGTATCTTCCAATGCTGGCTACTTCCGGCATTGATTATGACGTGAAGCTGTGGGCGCCGATCAACGACGAACCAAGCTTCGACGAAAAGTTTGCCGAAGACGTAAGTTGTTTCCTTTTTATTTTCAATATTATATTAAATAGAAACATTATGTAGAAGAAATGTGTAAACGTCTCTTGATAATATTCTCATACGAGGAAAGATAGCTTGACGTTTGATTTTGCTTTCAGCTGAAAAAAAGAAATGCAGTTATGTTGGAAGAGACCAAAGACACAATTACTGTACCTGCGGTTTTTATGATCAGAATGCTGGCATGCCTCAATCAAATACGCAGAGGTAGTGAAAATTTTTAGTAATATTCCTTTCGGGGTCAGTTTGCGATAATTCGCTACACTAATATGTACAGGAATACAGAAGTAAGAAAAATAAATCCAACATTTTTCGGAGTCTTCCATTGTTGTGCGCAGGTATTATATGATTGTTGGCATTGAATGGATGTAAAAGCTTTATCTGACAATGAGTTGTATTGCATTGGGCGTGTCCTTGTTCAAATTTCATAATAGAGTATAAGATATCGGTGAATTGACAGAAGCCGTCTTTTTCTCCTTTTTTTTTCTCTCAATGTGCAAACCTACATTTGACTGGTATTTATATTGAGCATTTCTGTGTTCTTAAGTGTCTTGTCTATAAAATTATAAGTAATATAAGTTATAGTTATTTTGATAATGCCTAACATATTTTATAAATGCTAATACATTTCACACCTGCTCAATTTTGCTAGAGTTCGAAACTGAACAAGTTAGTAACATATATTTCTTTACATTTTCTCCATGTTATTTATTTGAAACATTTTCCAAAGATGTTACGATATTTGCTACTTACTATATCAACTCACACATACGTATATCCAGATTCACTATCCTTAAAACATGTCTCTGGTGAATGCCATTATATCAAAACGAAACATTTGGTCTACTGACAGTATTGACATTGGAACAAGGTGTAAGATATTTAAAAATGCTGCAATTTCTCTTTAATCCATCTGATTACTGCCGTGGTTGTATACAAGTAACAAATATGAAATTACAAATAGTTATTCATTTGCTGCATGCATATCAAAACTGTAAGAAATAAAATTTTTGTTTCACTAATTGGCCAACAGTTTTTGATATATACGCAACAATAAATATTCTTATCCCGAATTCTTATTAAGATGATATTAAAAAGAAAGCAGTGTATTAAAATGTAACTTTAATAGATTATTTGTAAATTCTGTGATTATATACAATATATATATATTATTATTGAAAAAAATTATTTCAATCATTTATGATAATTGTGCAAGAAATTATATGGTTTCTTACGGAATGTTAAAATGTCACTTAACGAAATGTTTGTTAAATTAATTTTCTTACATTTATTCTATACAAGTGACAATTTAGTGCAAATGTAGCGTGTAAAATATTACGTACACAATATTCTGTGCTGTGCAAATATATACTCAACATCTCTGATTATAAAAAATCATATACATAGATATTTTTCAAGTACGATTCTACAAGGTGGATAAAATGTCGCAAAATTTCTTTTAATTTTTATATAATTTTTTTCAGCTGGAATAATTAGGATTAAGGACAAAGGATTAATAATTGTGCAGAATTAATTAAGAAGGTTACAAGGAGAATATTAATTATCAGATATATTAAAACTTGCATAAAATTTTTGCAAACATTGTTCGTATGTGGATTTTTTCACCAGTTAAGGTTAGGTTTTGAGAACATTTCTAACAAAATACAAGACTTTTTGTAATTGTTGCAAGGGAGCCACTTTTTAATACTTTTTTATGTTTTCCAAATCCTTGAAAACACTTTGGTATGATATATTCATTATATTAACTATAAATTTATTAGTTTCTGAATAATTTCAATAATTTCTTTTCATAATTGATATACAGCATAAAATTTTCGAATTAAAACTCATAAAAAAAGTGTATTCTTACAAACTAACCGGTGAAAAAATGTAACTTTACGTGCTGACATGATTTATAGGAGCGTGTGTGTTTTAAATTTGATGCAATTGTCAACATTTCTGATTTTCTCCCGATGACAACCTTCTCAATGATACAATCTTCATGTAAAAGTGATATATTGGAAACTATGTTACCGAGATATACTTGAAAGAAATGACCGCGTTCATTCTATGACAAAATTATAAGAATCATGTAAACTATTTTGTAGGTCGAGGTCGCAACAGGAGACGGAGCAGCGACGAGGGCGGCGAATTACGAGGTGGCTGAGTCGCCTTGGACGATACCGCAAGTAGTAACGATAATAAAACGGAAACTCGCGTATTAATTACGGAATTGTAATGATGATAATGCTTAATTTACCGATCGAATCAAGAAACATAGAAGGTCCTGATCGACGTAAACAGATCTCGTGATATATACGTAAAGTCCAATTGGAATGATGTTTCGGTACATAGATGTATCTCATGTATCTACAAGATATCCGATGGCATTGTCAGTGTCATACATAACTGTACATGTAATAATGTACCAAACTGGGGATGGACTTGACTGGGATGATTCCTCGAATACCCAAGTTTATACGTATAACTGTCTCTTTTTTTCTTTTTTGCCGCCTTATGTTACAGTCGATATTTAAAGTGGATCCATATTCTGTAGTGTATTGGACAGAAAAGGAATTTTGATCTCTGTATATATTGTACTTTACGTTTTACCAAGTATGTTAGCATCTATGAATATTTATATTCCAGCTGTGTATGTCATTATGATACGGCTTCGTATATCTTGCAAAGAGATTGTTGTCGGTGAAATAAGTGCAATAATGTGTGAAATAAGTGCAAAATTAGCATGCTAGTCCAAGACTTGCAATAAAAGACATTTCGTCTCCGTTTGTACATATCTCCTCGTATTATTAGGAACGAAATAGGAACGGTGATTTACTATCTTTGACGGCAAAGAAATCAACTTGTGCAATCGGAGATTGTCAAGGTTTCAAACTCTTACGTCTCGTCTTACGTATACGCATGCGTATAAACAGAGACTGTCTATTTATTTTAATTATTACAATCCCTTACTTATAGAATATTTTCTATATTAGAGTCAAGATTAAAGAATAGTATTTCGTAGAATTTTGTAGAGTTATATTTCATGCTCGAGAGGACGAGTACATAATACTGGGTTATAGCTGAATGATCAAGAGAGAGTTTTATTTTCTTCTGTTGTTACTGCAGGCACAAATATCTTGTAAATTGCACGATCAACTTTTCACATTCGTTCTGTATGTTTATGGTTTACATTTATCATCGAGATTCGAGGAATAATACGACGAACGAAGTGTCAGTAATACAATTTGATCCCGTAGAAAAGGATAATGTGATTCTAACGTTATTAGGACATGAAAATTTTTGGCGTAAGGCAAACCGTAATACGTGCCTTACAGATTTTCAGTTAGAGCAATAAAGTACCGATAATAGTAATTGTGTCTGCTTGAGAGATAGGCAGATTTATGAAAAATGCCGAGAATGTTAAAAATCGATAATTACGTCGATAATCGTGTTACGACGCCGCATCTCGCATAGCGTGACCGCTTGTGAAATTTTAGTACAATAGTCACATTGGTAAAATATGGTTAACGACCGTTAAATGAACAACGTACACGTAAGCATGAACGACATGTCTTTACAATTATGTAATATCAAGAGAAACCTGTTTATAATAAAAATATCAACGCCCATTATAATATTTCCTTCAACGTAGATCCTTTTCGTCTATGCGCTAATGTCACGTATAATCATTAACACGCACGCACACTCTCTCTCTCTCTCTCCCTCCCCCTCTCTGTTATGATGTGGTAGAGAGTATTCAAAATTATGCCGTTTACATTGCACACCAAACATATACATTACTCTTATCATCAAATATCTCAAACGTGAAAGAATTCTTATCGCATCGTAAAAACAAGTCGTCCGCGTCGGTAGCGGATATCTAGCAAACGGATGAAACATCGTCTTCTATACTAGCTCATTTCGACTCATTTCGAATTAGTCATGTGAAAGAGAGATGCGAGTTGAAAAAGAAATAACTGAAAGCAATAAACAGATGAGACAAAACCACACGTCAAACAATAGAACCTAATTTTAATAACACAATATGAATACCACATTTGTAATGAATAATGAACAAATAATATATTAGCACTAGAAATGATGATTAGAAGAATTGTAAACGTATCAAAACAATGGGCTCTAGTGATCGCAATAGAAGCGTAGAGAAGAGATCGCACGTAGATACGCCAAGTTTACATACGGTTACTCTTGTCTTCAATTATAATAAGACTAATGCCTAATTGTATTTATTGAGGGCTCGATGAAGCTATCATCGACGCTCTTTCATCTTTTCTACATCTTAATTCTCCAATAAACACTGCTTTAGTGATAAGGAGGAAGAAGACTGAAAACCAGGACAAGCACTACATCGAAAATGCGACTGAGATTAAGAATTATACTTTGGCTTATTTTGCTCCTAAACAATTTACAAAGTCGATAGGTACCACCGAGGATATATTGAGAAGAGTATATCAAATTCTAATAATCTGTGTATATATATATATATATATATATATATATGTAAGAATTGCACATTTCCGTTAAAAACAAAGCAAAATTTTGACGGTACGAGTCGGAATCTTTCACACAATAGCATCGTTTACAATCGAGAGGATCACAACGGATTCAAACATCATTGCAGAATTCAAAGTTATTATCATTTAGAGATACGTTGACAATTGTAATTTTAATCCCTAGTTTGAATCTTTCGAGAGAGATGGACGAAAAAGAGAACAAGAAATAGTCGAGAATGTTTAATCGAAGAGTGACGTGCGCGCGTAGAACGTGTGTGGACCGATTCTGTGTCTGTGTTTCTTTCCTTTTTATTTCTCTCGGTATTAGCACAAAATTGTTATTGTTTATCCATTTATTCGTAGATTCAATAAAGTTTGTAATAATGAATTTAGCGATTATATATTAAGTCGCTATCGATGAGAGAGAAAGAGAGGAGGGTGGGAGAAAAGAAGAGGGAGGGGAATGAAAGAATCAATCATTTTTCGCATATAATCTGACGTTTCGCTTCATTGCTTGACGAGCTAAATTTTCTTGCAAGAAATAGTCAACTTAAGAGAGAATTGAAAAAGAACATTGGAGAACACGCGAGTATTCATCGAATGGATTCGTATCGATACTTTCGATCCGATCGAGAATCGGACTTCTGACTACGCTACCATGCTTTTCGTTTCACTTTGAATATAATTCTCAATTCAAATTGAACAATTCAACACAAGTGTGTTATAAGTAACATTAAATCAATTCTTTACCAGAATACTATTCGAAAAATTACATACAAAGTTGATTATTACTAACTGTAAGGAAGGATCATTTAATTACAAAAACGTGACGACGTTAATCACAAGGCTGTTATGCTAAAATCCATTTTGTAAAAAAGAATCTGTAAAAGAATCGCGTAAAAAATGTAATTATATAAAGAAATACCGTGATGAGTACTTTACTGTAAGAAATACTTGGACGTTACTCGAATGAAGTGACATTCGTCATAATAAATAATAGCGAGATTTTACTTTACTTATTTTCTTTAATTGAATCGAAGAGAAGTGCAACAGTGGATGTTTAGTTGTAAGACGAGTCAAATCACACATCACACCTAAATTTCGATTCATTCTTTCAACTAGGTGCAAGATTTGTCGTTTTCTTCCTCCCCCTCTCTCTCTGTCTCTCACACACACACACACATACACACCCTACACGCCTCCCCCCCTCCCTCCCACACACACACACAGAGGTTCAAAGTATATAAAACGTATATGCTTCTCACGCGTGTAAAAACTCGTTATTTCCATCTTATATCTTGTTTCTCTTTTCTCTTATTTCTTTAACATAACGTTACGTTATACAAATATCGCACAAGTATGCGGCGGTTTCTTCCTTTTTAGTATAGTTGGTGAGAAAGATAAATGAAAAATAGAGTATTTTGAATTATAGTCATTAGAGTGAAAAGTTTTTAGGTAAAAGGATATTTCCGCCGGTTTCGTTGAGCCCTATCTCATTGTCAGATAGAAGTACAAATACCTAGGCGGAATCGTTCGCCATTACTCGTCGCGCACGCAGAACGCACGGGCGGGTTGACGTATACACATAAAGATACGACATGCATATATGTATATCCATATATACATACATCATATAATAATAATAATGAGTAATAATGAGATAACAATAACAACGATAATAATAATTAGTGGTGACAGTAATGGTAATTACAGTAAATGTAATAATATTGATATTATAATGAGGATAATCGTTTACATTATCCGAAAGGATCGTCACTTTCAGACTTTTGGAGGCATGGTTGGAGTGCGCGACGCGTCTTTTGTTCCGTCTTGTGAAAAGAAAAATAAAGAGAAAAGAAACGGAGAGAGGAAGAGAGAAAGAGCATTTATACTTGCGCTTTTTGAAACAAATGATTACAAGTTTTACTAAGGTAAGATACTCGACGTAAATATAGTGTATAAAAGAGCAAATAAACTATTGTAAAATGAAAACGTTAGATTAGAGTCAGAGACGCGGATAATGTTACAATTAGTCTACGCGTTGAACCTTTACCAGCTCGGTTGGATCGTTCCTTCGATGACGATTACTGATGACTCCTCATCGCTCGAACCGATCTGCTCAAAGTGCAAATCTAACACTCGAAATGTGTAACGATGAGAAATTAAAGCGGGACGCGGCGATTACAGGTTGCGATACATACGCAGTTTTAACCCGTAGGTCATCTGTCATCGTTACATCACATATCTCTCAAGTACTTAGACATAATCGCTAATTCTCACCAGTCACATGCCTAGATTCCACAAGATTTAGGAAGAAAAGAAATGTAATTTCTCGAGTACTAGCTTTACAGCTTTTCTCTTTCGCTCCTCTTTCGAGTCGAGTCGAGTCGAGGCGAGGCGAGGCGTAGGCGAGGCGAGGCGAGGCGAGGCGAGGCGAGGCGAGGCGAGGCGAGGCGTGGCGTGGCGAGGCGAGGTGAGGCGAGGCGACATCTTAGCCCGAATGCCATAGATTCGCTTGAAAGAACAATGACACGGCAGAATGATTTTTAAATATGCTCCGCTTTTGCCATCCCGCTAAATCTCACTACTCGGGATCTCGGGACTCGATATTACATCTCTCGTACAAAGATATGTTGGTCTATAATACAAAAGAGTTGGTGAAAACAGTTGATCGTATAACGAAATCTATCTAACGAAAGTAAGGATGTCGACCGATCGGGCCTCGGCCGACGAATACTCGCGCGACGTACACGACGTATTACGTTTATTACTTAGAAACGTGAGTGAGTGGGGGCGCAGCCATATGTACATCTGTTTTTTCCTTCATGTATTTTCGGATACGTGTATCGTATTTCTATAAACGCGAGATACAACTAAATCTACGGCTTGTGTCATGTTAACGTAATCGCGAGAAGGCTTGTACAATCGTTAGTCCTCGAGACCTAGCATTCGTGCACAAATAGTAGTACAAGTACAATCTTATCCCATCACGTCGATACAAACCAGACGAAAAAGCACAACGACGAGATACATTGTCCAACACATTAAAGCTCGAGATTCCTCGGCGCGTCTCTTCGTTACGCGATGCTATTGATCAGCGACGAGGGATCGTGACGCTCGGGAGAAACGCGGAGAAAGAGATTACGACACGCACGAGAGCCAAGAAAATGGAAAATAGAAAATGAGCAAACTGCTGCGGAATGTGAGAAATCTGGAGATTATACTTACATATGTATATAATACATGATCCTTTACACTATGTACCATGCCAGTGGTGCAATCAACCATTTCGGCGAGGTGAAAGCGAGTGTAAAAGGAGTAAGAAATGAAAAGTTGGCCAATTCCAAAGGACCTCCTAAATGTTGATTACGCCACTGTGCACTGTATCCATATCAGAAAAAAATGTGCAACCAACTCGTCGAAAACCACGTTATTGCTGATGCACATGTGGAAATACAGAGTGAGATTACAATAGATGTTGCAAGGGAAGAAACTCTTACTCGGGTACGTACACCCGAGACGGAGAGAAATTCCATTTATACTTCAACTTCTTTTTTCTGATACGAGTACAAACACCTGTGCTTTTCGCTATAATCGATACAATGCAATAATTTATACTTTATTCGAGCTCGTACGAGCTTTAACAAGTTGCAGACCACTTTCAGTGACAAATCTGACAAATGCGAGCATCGCGAAACACGTCCTTCTCCGCGCCTTTCAAAATCCCTCGGGGGTATGAATTCACTATTAAATATACGAATAACAGTAATAATCATAATAACAGTGCGTCGCGTTTCGATCGGTGTGGAAAGATATCTAAAAATGAGAATATATATCGACTTTAGTCACTCGATTCATCGATTTCGTTAACATTCGTAAACTCGTATTTATAAACGTTTATAATAAAGACCGCGTTACGTCATATATGTATATGTACATGCACGCATGCACGCGCGCGCACACACACACACACACACCCACGTAACATGGTCAATACTATATTTATATTTATATATATATTTATATTTATATATAACATTTTGAATTCATTTGAACGCATATGTCGGTTGTGGCGTTTGTTATATCAAAAAACAAAAAAAAAAAGATTATGCCGATCGTTGCCTATAATCAGAATTTCCGATTGATTGATAGACAAGGGTAAAGAATAAGTCGACTCGCCTTTTCTTTTTGCTCTCGGCGACAACGGCGTACGATGGTAATAATACAATAAGTATAATTATACAGTAATAGCAGTAATGGTAATAGTAGTAGTAGTAGTAGTAGTAGTAGTAGAGTAGTAGTAGTAGTAGTAGAGTAATGGTAACAGTAGCAATAGTAATAATAGTTGCAGTAGTAATAGTCATAGCAGTAATAGTAGTAGTCTTTAACGTTACTGATAATCATGTAATAACAATAATAAATCAATGAATCTTTTTTATACAACAACCACACGTAGAAGCGACAAATTAGAGTAGTAGAAATAACTATTCCTTAATCTCGCAATTTTATGTTTATATTTATATTTAAATAGTTATATTTCTATATATTTATTTATAATGTATATCTGCAATATATTATGTGTGTGTGTGTGTATACATATGCATACACATGTAGACATACATACACATACGTGTGTATATATACATATACATGTATGTATGTGTGTGTGTATATACATACATATATGTAGTCCTATCTGTATCCTTGTATTAATATACATATGCGTAAGATGTGGTACGCGCACGTGCGACCACACGAACGTGGCGTGGTCCCACCATTTGGAAAAGTGCATTCATTATATTATTAACGATGCATGCCAGACGACATACGATCGTTTGATAATTCGTTCTTTTCTAAACGATAGGTAGAACACGGAAGTATAATATATGAAAATGAGAGACATATTTCATATGATGCTAGAACGTGAAAGATTCGAGACGCCGAGAAAGATAAAAAGAGAATCTTGGCAAGCACAGCTTTAGAAACATTCACTCTGATATCTAATGAATGATCATTAGTAATGAAACAGATAACAATGATTTAATAAATTAATGATCTTACGAATTTGTAACTTTCGTGCACGCGCACGCGCTTACACTCATATACATAATATATATATGTGTGTGTGTATGTGTGTGTTTGTGTAGTTTCTTTTATTTATATATATTTATATGTATATATTTATATAACAAAATGGCAAAAATGTTTCTCTTGGTTTCTCGCAGATAGAGAAACTTTATATCTCCCCGCATTCGTCAAAATTACATTATTAGTACGCGTAACTTGTAATAATAATAGAGAATATACGAATGTGTGTAGAAAGATTCGTCATATTAATGAAGTAAATTCGACAAAAACATCTGGATTCGTGATTACTTTGAATAAGAATCCATTCGACTCCCTCGTCCTAATTCGTAGTGAAATCCATTCGTCGTGTACTTGCTGCGATGTTTACATCATATCTTTTAGATTCAAGTAGTTTAATAAATATATTCATAATATTAATATTGCAGAGAGAGAGAGA